GCCCCATACAGGAGGACTGGTGGTACCCCCTTATCCACGGCCCTGCATCCAATGTAGGAACAGGTATTATCAACAAAGAGTCCAACAACAGTCCTGTTGGAATTGTCCACATATACCTGGGTACAGTATAGTTAATAATAAAGATACCTCCAGATGAATGTTACAGAAGGGTCCCCTGAAGATAATCACAATGCAGTGTCAGTCTTTGTGTCAGAGACCTCCTTCTGAGTGGGTGTCATATGACATCAGCTCAGAAGGCCGTGGGGCAGTGCAGCAGTGCGATCTGTCGCTGGCTGTGTCCATAGGACACAGCTGATGACTGATCACTACACCAGTCTGCTGCCAGACTGTAAGCAATGGATGGCTTCCTTTCATGCCATTCATTGTATACAATCATATCGTTAGCTGTGATTAGTCACAGCGACCACATGACACAGAGGAGGGCCAATCACAGCCCATCTGTACCCTGTTAACAACTTTGGCCAATTACAGCTAATCACAACAAAAGACACTGAATTAATCAATTTCATTCAGTAAAAATGGTTTCTTACATCAACGAAATTCATTGATATTGCTCTGGTTGCAGGTGTTAAAAAAACTGTAAAAAATAGAATTTGTTTTTAAATGTAATTATTAAATGTAATATAATTATTCAGATTTTTTTTACATACTTTCACCAGTCAGTGTCCCCCAATCACCGCCATGCCAGTTATATGATAACACTGTACTGGACTGGTGACAATATGTAAACAAAAAATTGTAAATTTTTTTTCTTAAAGTGGAGTTCCATTCGACCTATCAAAAAATAAAAGTCAGCAGCTACAAAAACTGTAGCTGCTGACTTTTAAAAAACACACTCCCCTGTCCCTCGGTCCCGTGGTGTGTCCCCCGCAGCTCGTTTCACAGGCCGTCGTGTATTTCAGGAGGCCGGCATCTTCAGTGTTAGCACCAGGCTGTGATAGCTTGCGGCTTCACAGCCGGGTACCTACTGCACATGCGCGAGTAGTGCTGCGCTTCGTGAATGGTCCTGTAGTCTTCTGGGACCTGTCATGTGTCCCACAAGACTACGGGGAGGGAGGGAAAACACCTTCCGCTTCCGATTCCCTAGGCGATCGGACCGGAAGTGGGAGCAGGTACCTGTCAAATTTGGGTACCTGCTCCCCCCCGCTCCCCAAAGGTGCCAATACTTAATGGGGAGCGGGGGAGCAGTCCTTAACCACTTGCCTACCAGGCACTTATACCCCCTTATTTACCAGGCTAATTTTCAGCTTTCAGCGCTGCCGCACTTTGATTGACAATTGCACGGTCATGCAACATTGTACCCATATGAAATTTTGATCATTTTTTTCTCACAAATAGAGCTTTCTTTTGGTGGTATTTAATCGCCACTGGGCACTTTACTTTTTGCGCTATAAATTAAAAAAGTGCAAAAAATTTGAAAAAAAAAAAGTTTCTTTGTTTCTATTATAAAATTTTTCAAACAGGTATTTTTTCTCCTTCACTGATGTGCGTTGATGAGGCAGCACTGATGGGCACTGATAGGCGTCACTGATGGGCACTGATAGACAGCACTAAAGGGCACTGATAGGCAGTACTAATGAGGTGGCACGGATAGGCGGCACTGATAGACAGCACTAATGAGGTGTCAAGGATAGGCGGCACTAATATGCAGCACTGATAGGCGGCACTGATAGGTGACACTGATGATGGGTACTGATAGACGGCACTGACTGGCATCACTGCTGGGCACTGACTGGCGGCACTGACTGGCACAACCCCTGGGCACTGACTGGTGGCACTGATTGGCAGCACTGCTGGGCTGCACTGGTGGGTGACACTGGTGGGCAGCACTGGTGGGTGGGCACAGGTGGGTGGCACTGGTGGGCACAGGTGGGTGGGCACAGGTGGGTGGCACTGCTGGGAACAGGTAGGTGGCACTTCTGGGCACAGGTGTTTGACACTGCAGAGTGGCACAGGTGGGTGCACTGCTGGGCACAGGTGGGTGCACTGCTGGGCACAGGTGGGTGATCTGCTGGGCACAGGTGGGCGGAGCTAGTGGGCGCACTGCTGGGCACAGATGGGCGGAACTTGCGGGTGGCATTGCTGGGCACCGATCATCAGGTGGGCGGAGCTAGTGGGCGCACTGCTGGGCACAGGTGATCGGTGCCGATCCCCGCTCTGACAACTGCCGGTTCTCGGCAGTACTTTCCTCACGATCTGACAGCGTGAGGAAAGTGCAGCCAAGAACCAGCACTTGCATTTCCCTGTGATCAGCATGTCATTGGACACCGCTGATCACGTGGTAAAAGGCCGGTATGATTGGCCTTTTACCACATCACGTGATCAGCTGTGTCCGTAGGACACAGCGATCACGGAGATCGCCGGGTGCGCGCCCCCTGGGGCGCGCAGGAGAGCGCGTTCTGAGAGGACGTCATATGACGTCCACTCAGAACTGGCCGGCGCCGCAGTTTAGCCGTCATTCGGCTATCTGCGGTCGGCAACTAGTTAAAGCAGAAATTCCCCTTTTGGGTTGAGCTCTGCTTTAAATTTCTTCATTTTCCAAAAAAATTGTGACAAAGAATTACAACTTCAAAAAACTTGCCATGCCTCCTACTAAATACTTTGGACTATCTATTTTTCAAAAAGTGGACATTTGGGGAATATTTGTACTATCCAGTTGTTTTCAGGCCTCAAGATATGAGATAGGCCATCAGTACATCAAGATTGATCGATTTTCAGACATATATACACCATAGTTTGTGGACTTTATAACTTTCCTACAGACTAAATAATATACACTGATTTGGCTTCTTTTCACCAAAGAAATGTAGCAGAATACATTTTGACCTAATTTTATGAAGAAAGGTTATTTATTTGCAAAATGTTATAACAGAAATAAAGAAAAACTAATTTTTCCCCAAAAAATTTCAGTCTTTTTTAGTCTATTTAGCAAAAAAATAAAAGCTCAGATTAAATACCACCAATAAAAATCTCTATTTGTGTGAAAAAAATAAAAAAAATTTCATATGGGTACAGTTTTGCATGACTGTGCAATTGCCATTTTACCTCCCTAGTGGTCTTATTATGTCCATATTTCTGTGCTCAAAGCGGTACATTTTTTTGCATGGAAATATGTATTTTTTTTATTATAGGCCTGTAACTCACTCATTATAGCAATAACTCACTGAAATCTGTCCGAACAAGAGTCTAGTAAACATTCTGGGTATGTTACAATTTGAAACACGAAATAATAAATTATAATTTAATAAATAATCATAAAAAATAATATAATAATAATAAATTTAATTAAATAATATAATCAAACCAAAAACACTGAAATTTGAAATAGAGCGCCAGGTTCGCACATCACTGAGCAAAGTCGCAAAATCGTTTTCAGTGTCTGATGACGAATTTCCCCACGAATCATTGTCACTCAATTCTGCAAGTGGTTCTAATTTACTATCGCTGTTGTCTAGCTGGTCTAAAACCGATTTTGACGCCATGGACATTTCTCAGTTTCCAGGCAGAAAGAACAGTAAAAATGCAGGCAGGGCACAGGACAAAGCACTAGGGACAAAATGTATGTGCAATACTTTGATACAGTAATGTTTTACTATGTGATTTTAGTGTATTTAGTGAATGTCACTTTTTATCATTTTCAAATTTCCCGCCGTTCCATCCCCCGTACGTCCCGACGCTCGCAGGGGACGGAACCCAGATGACAGATGCCAGCATCCACCGGAGGACATTGCCGGGGACACTGCAGGAGGGACATCGCGGGAGCGCAGGACAAGGTAAGTGAAGAACAGATCACAGAGCAGTGCCGCATGGTAAGCCCGAGTGTAGCTCGGGGTTACCGCTTGTGGTACTGAATCTATACCCCGAGATACACTCGGGAATACCGCCAGGGAGGTTAAAATGTGACAGTGCTGAAAGCTGAAAATTGGCCTGGGCAGGAAGGGGGTAAAAGTTCCCAGTATTGAAGTGGTTAAAATGGCTGCCCATCTGATAGACCTGAAAGTCAGCCCAATAGTTAACTGAAGAAGTGCACATGACAAGCTGAAAACATCACTGCTAACCAAGGGGTTGGTATGATATGGTGCTTTCAGTGTGCAACAAGAAGTGGGGTTACTTGCTGCATCTCCAAGTAAGAATAATAATTACAAAACTATAAAGTTATTTTATTTATTACAAGTACTTATGTAGCGCTGTCAATTTATACAGCACTTTACTCGTGTGTGTGTGTGTGTGTGTGTGTGTATATATACATATATGTTGTCCATTCACATCAGTCCCTAACCTTCAAGGAGTGTACAGTCTAAGGTGTCTAACTCACATTCACACATACACATACAAGGGCCAATTTAGATAGGAGCCAATTAACCTACCAGCATGTCTTTGGAGTGTGAGAGGAAACCCATGCAGGCACAGGAAGAACATGCAAACTCCAGGCAGGTGGTGCTGTGGTTGGGATTTGAGCCAACGACCCTAGTGCTGCCAGGTGGAAGTTCCAACCATTTAGCCACTGTGCTACCCCATATATGCAAGAGATTCACAAATAAGTATTTACTCTTGAAAGCTATAAATGTCAATGACCCTGATGAAGTCACGTGACATCGTGACGTAACGTGTGGGATCGTGGTGATGCAACTCCCGGCGTGCTGATGCAACTTCCGGCGCGGACGCCATCTTGGAACTTCTATTGAGGCCAATGTATTAGTACACCCACAGCATGTGGATAGGTACTAAAGGCTTGTCATTTCTAGTCAAATGTGAGTGGGATTTGTAACGTTTTTATCCATTTGAGTTATTAAATGGTAATACACTGTGGGAGCATTTTGTATTCTCTTTCTGGGCGAATGAGGAGCTATCACTTCTAGGGCCACTGAGAGGAGGCTGTATGCGGGACCTTAGTTACCAGAGAGGGAACTGACACAGCGGTGGACCTAACATCCATTGGAGGGAGTCCGAGTTCCAGACCGGTGGTGTTTGATTGTTTAACCCCCCTGGTGGTATTCCCGAGTGTAGCTCGGGGTAAAGTTTCAGTACCAAAAGCAGTAACCCCGAGCTACACTCAGGAATACCATGCGGCGCTGCTCCGGGATTCCTCGGTCACTTACCTTGTCCTGCGCTCCCGCGATGTCCCTCCTGCAGTGTCCCCTGCAATGTACTCCGGCGGATCCCGGCATCTGTCTTCTGGGTTCCGTTCCCTGCGAGCATCGTGTCGTATGGGGGACGAACGGCGGGAGATTTGAAAATGACAAAAAGTGACATTCACTAAAATCACATTGTATAACATTACTGTACCAAACCATTTCACATACATTTTGTCCCGAGTGCTTTGTCCTGTGCCCTGCCTGCATTTGTTACCGTTCTTTCTGCCTGGAAACTGAGAAATGTCCATGGCGTCCAAAAAGCGTCCCTTTACGTGAAAATTGGTTTTAGACCAGCTAGAGAACAGCGATAGTAAATTAGAACCACTTGCAGAATTGAGTGATAATGATTCGTGGGGAAATTTGTCATCAGACACTGAAAACGATTTTGTGACTTTGCTCAGTGATGTGCGAACTTGGCGCTCTATTTCAAATTTCAGTGTTTTTGGTTTGATTATATTATTGAATTAAATTTATTAATATTATATTATTATTTTTTTATGATTATTTATTAAATTATAATTTATGATTTCATGTTTCAAATTTTATCATACCCGGGATGTTTATTAGACTCTTGTTCGGACAGATTTCAGTGAGTTATTCCTAAAAATTACAGGCCTACAATACAAAAAATACATATTTCCATGCAAAAAAATGTACCGCTTTGAGCACAGAAATATGGACATAATCAGACCGCTAGGGAGGTTAAAGCATTTTGACCCTGCAGGGTCACCGCATGGAGGTGAGGGGCCATTGCACTTAGAGTGGGATTCATAGTATCCTGTTGCACATTTTGGTGATTACAGGACTACAGAACACCTCCACCATTTGGATGGTTCTGGGCACTTTCTATAGATTGGACATTTATGTTTCACTTTTTAGGACACAATAATAATTTTTTGGGTTTTGGTTTTTTGTTTATGTTAGTGGGTGGATTATCCACTCTGGATATATGTTTGTGGATATACAGAAAGTGTGAAGCATTGTTTGAAGTCACTTATTTTCACGGTTATTTAGAACCCCCATTTGGGGTTTCGTATCACGTCATTATCTATAGGCATTTAGCCTATTTTTGTGGTGTTTACTCATCCCCAGTAGCGGGTCACTATTGTGTATATAGTGATTGTTAGTGATTTACAAGCGTTGAGCCTGATTTTTTTCTTTCTTTCACAATTACCACATTTTGTGGTTTCACGGATTCACTTTATTTATCCCATATTGGGATCACTGGAATTGTTTACATTCACAAGTTATTTTGAGCATATACATGTGTTTATTTATTTGATTCCTCTTTCTCTTTTCATAGGTTTACCACAAGGAGTGGTCTCACTGATTCACTTGGTTTTTTATCCCCTAGTAGGATCACTGTTATTTCTTTCACACCAGTTTATCCAGGGCATGTAACGTTTACATGCGTTTATGTCATTATATTTATTCACTTGTGTTGTCGTTCAGGAGTTTTTTCAGTTTCACGGCATTTAATATATGTGTATTAATATTGTGTATATATTTGTGGAATATCTTACTTAACCATTAGCCGCCCTGCCAATGGCCGTTTGGCGGCTTCAAAAGTGCTTCTGCACTCCGGGTGCACGCCATTTGGCGTGCTCCCGCACATGCGCAGTTTGCGCTAATGCAGAGCGGGCGCAGCAGCGTGATCTGTCACCGGCCGCGTACCTCGGACACGGCCAATGACAGATCTGAGTACCGGCCCCGTTGCTGGTGCCATGTTCCCTTCTGTGACCAATCACAGCAGGTCACATGACAGTTGTATACAATGGATGGCTTCATTCATGCCATTCATTGTATACTAGTGCCTAGCTGTGAATGGTCACAGCTAATCACATGCACATGTTATGTGATTAGCTGTGACCAAATCACAGCTAAGCACAAAAAAAAAAAAAAAAGCTGAATGAATAGATTTCATTCAGGTAAATGCTTGCTTATAGCGAAGTAATTCTTTGCTGTAAGCAAATTGTGTAAAAAAAAAAAAAAAAAAATACTGATCACTTCCCCAAAGTAGTACAATGTTACTTTGGTCATAGTAAAATATGAAAAAAAAAATCTTAAAAAAAAATGTAATAAAAAAAAAATTAAAAATAATAAAAAATATATATATATATTATTTTTTTTTTTTTCATACTGTCACCAGTCAGTGTCCCTGTTCCCCGCCATGCCAGTTATATGATGACGCTGTACTTCACTAGTGACAGTATGTAAAAAAAAAATAGTGAAAATAATTTTTTTAATTTTTTAATTTTCCAAAAAATTAAGACAAAAAAAATACAACTTCAAAAAACTCGCCATGCCTCTTATGAAGTACGTCGGACTGTCTACTCTGCAAAAAGGTGTCATTTGGGGGATATCTGTACTATTCTAACATTCTTGGAAATTAGATTGGCTGTCAGTACTTCAGGATTGATCAATATTCAGATCTATACCATAGTTTGTGAACTCTATAACTTTCCTACAAACTAAATAATACATCCTAATTTGGGTTATTTTCACCAAAGACATGTAGCAGAATACATCTCGGCCTAAATTTATGAAGAACAATTATTTATTTGTAAACTTTTATAACAGAAACAAAGAAAAACGTGTTTTTTTCAAAATGTTTGGTCTTTTTTTGTTAATTTAGCAAAAAATAAAAACCCCAGCGGTGATTAAATACCACCAAAAGAAATCTCTAGTTGTGTGAAGAAAATGATAAAATTTTAGTTTGGGTACAGTGTTGTATGACCGCGCAATTGTCATTCAAAGTGTGAGAGCGCTGAAACGTGAAAAATGGCCTGGGCAGGAAGGTGTAAAATTGCCCGGTATTGAAATGGTTAAGAGAGGGGGTGTAGAGGTTGTGGGGTTTATGTCTTATTTGACTTAGTTATCTATTATTGATTTTTAAGAGGATATTGTTCACCTATTTACTATATATTACGCAATGAGGTTCACATATAGTTTATTAGCGCAGCACCACATTTTACAATATAAATGTCAATTACTTGTAGTGGTGAACTGTGATAAGTGTGGAAAAATGGCAATAAAAAAAGGCACTAGTAATAACAATAGATAACAATAGATAGATATTTGACTCTCAATAGATATTACATATTCCAATATTTATGCCTATGGGAACTTCATAATGTAGCCACAGGGAGTAAAAGCCATATATGACCTACTACAGACAGCTTATTGGTGCATGCTGTCCTTTTGTTTTGAACTCCCCCTATCAAAATGCACATGCATTGTTGCACCGATAAATAATCAAATCCCTTTCAAGTGTTTTCGCTTACTTATAAAAAATATAATAATTTCAGTAACATCAGAACATTCATGTTGCAAAGCTTCTGGGCTTTACTATATAATAGAGATATTCTTGCATAATTTAATACTAGATGGAGCAGATTTATTAATTTCTAATAAAACTGAATAAATTACACAAATTCTAAGCATGAGGCTATTAATTTATCTGATAGTAACACACTTTTTTTCTATTATATATAACTGCTCAAGAGAACTCACATTGAGAATATCAGTACCTACACAGATAACAATTTGTGAGAGATTATAAAATGCCCATCATTAAAATGAACTACTGCTGATGGTATCGTTTTTTTCTTGAACTAGATTTATACATTTGTGACAGGGAAAAAAGAAAAAAAATCTGACTAAGCTAGACAAAAAATATTTGATGCAAGTCCTAACAGGATAAACGTTTAAATTTCTCAGCATGTTATTTAAATTCTGCACAGGGTGAATTTATTATAAAATATACTTAAAAAGAACACCTGAAGCCATCACACAAGATGAAAAATAACTCCAAATATATACTTAAAATATACTTAAAATTATCCAGGTCATAATTTAAAAGTACACTTAATGTAGAAAGGTTTAAATGAATTCACTTATAGGCCTTTGCTTGCTAAGTTATCTTTTAAATTTTAGGTGATTTTATTTTTTACAAAAGTCAAAGAGTGCCATTGAAAAACAGTATAAGATTCAAGAGACTCCTGCAGATTATTTTATTTTTATTATGGAGAAAAAATGTGTATATTAATTTTGTAATCATATATCAGCAATACATTTTAGAGCTGTTCAGTTGTATGATCAGTTTATTGCTACAATACATGATAAAGTATACTACAAATTGAATGTTACACATGGGAGACTCCCTACTGCGGAAACAGCTAATTTTAAGTAACCACTTTATAGTTTACGATAACCCCAAATACAAAATTCTCTAATTCTATATCTATGTATGCTATGTGCTTTAGTAGAAATGCTTGTTAACCTCCTTAGCGATATTCCCAAGTGTAGCTCGGGGTAATATGTCAGTACCAAAAGCGGTAACCCCGAGCTACACTCGGGCTTACCATGCGGCGTTGCTCAGGGAGTCCCTGCAGCACTTACCTTGTCCTTCGCTCCCATTATGTGTCCCCTGCAGCGTCCCCGGCCATCTCCTCTGGCCGATGCCGGCATCCGGCTTCCGTGTTCCGGACCCTGTGACGGCAAATTTGAAATTTTTTAAAAATGTCATTTTTTTAAAAATGATTATTACATAGTAAAACATTGCTGTTTCAATGCATTTCACATACATTTTGTCCCTACTGCTTTGTCCTGTGCCCTGCCTACATTTTGACTGTTCTTTCTGCCTGGAAACTTAGAAAAGTCCACGGCGTCCAAAAAGCGTCCCTTTATGTCAAAAGCGGTTTTAGACCAGCTAGAGAACAGCGATTGTAAATCAGAACCACTTGCAGAATTGAGTGATAATGATTCGTGGGGAAATTCATCATCAGACACTGAAAACGATTTTGCGACTTTGCTCAGCGATGTGCGAATTTGCCTCTGTATTTCAAATTTCAGTGTTTTTGGTTTGATTATATTATTGAAATTAAATTTATTATTATTATATTATTATTTTTTATGATTATTTATTAAATTATAATTTATGATTTTGTTTCAAATTTTATCCTACCCGGGATGTTTACTAGACTCTTGTTCGTACAGATTTCAGTGAGTTATTCCTAAAAATTACAGCCTACAATAAAAAACTACATATTTCCATGCAAAAAAATGGTACCGCTTTCAGCACAAAAAATCGGAAAGAATCATACCGCCGAGGAGGTTAATATTCACAAATTAGATGGCCTAAGCAGGCACCTAGCGTGGTTTGTAGTAG